GGCGAGCATGAAACAACTCGGGGAATCATGAGCGAAATCTGCTCTTCAATTGGCGAGCCAAAATCAGCTCGGTCAATGATGAACAAAATAAGCTCGATGTAATGAGCAAAATCTGCTCTTTATCGGCAACCAAGAAATAGCTTGGGTAATTATGAGCAAAATCTGCTCTTCAATCGGCGAGCCAAAATCAACTCGGTCAATGATGAGCAAAATCAGCTTCACAAAGTCGAGCAAAAATCAGCTCAGATAATTATGAACAAAATTGGCTCGACTTAAATACAAGTTGGGCAAAACACTAACTGTTGGGCGGTTGGGCAAGTTGAGCTCGGTTTAACATGCAAAATCAACCCATAACCAGGTAATTGTTCATTCTGCAAAAGTTATCCTGGTTTTGAACACTTGCCCCTGGTACTCATAGCAACTTAATGTCTTTGTAACATTTCTGTGTAGAAACGCGGACATAAGAGAAAGAAGGGGTCATCTTCTACTACATGTTACAGATTACACCCAATGCCAAAAGGCCAAGTTTCAAGAAGCAAAGAAGTAGAAAAGATTACATTTCAAAAGTAAAATATCTTAAGATTGCCAGCATTCCGTGGTCTAGGCGTAGCTTTGCTATCTAAGTCTTCCAAGTGGTATGCCCTTTTGCCTGCAAGGCCAGTTATCTTGTATGGCCCCTTCCAATTTGCATATAATTTTTCCTCGCCAGGGATCACTGTGTTGCCCATTACCTTCCTCTAGACCCAGTTTCCGACCTCGAATAGCCTAGGATGCACGGTCTTGTTGTATTTCTTGGAGAGCTCTTGTTGGTAGGTTGTTATGTGGATTAAAGCCCGTTCCCTTTTTTCTTTGGCTAGGTCAAGCTCCAGGGCTATAGCTTCATTGTTCAAGTTTGGTTGGAAACTTTCAGATCGGATGGTTGGCATGCCAATCTCCAATGGTATGACTGCCTACATGCTGTAAGCCAAGGCAAATGGAGTTTCCCCGGTTGAACGCCTTGGTGTAGTGCGGTATGCCTAGAGCACATTGGGAAGTTCCTCAGCCCGCTTCTCTTTGGCTTTCTCTAATCGCTTCTTTAGCCCGTCTAAGATGGTTTTGTTTGAAGCTTCAGCTTGACCATTTGATTGGGGGTAGGCCGGTGTGGAATTGTAGAACTCAATCTTTAACTCCTCGCAAAACCTGCGAAAGAGTTTTCCATCGAACTGAGTGCCATTATCCGAAATGAGTGCTTTTGGGATGCCGAAGTGGATGGTGACATTTTGCCAGACAAATTTTTTACCATATTTTTCTTTGATGGTGGCCAATGGCTCGGCCTCTACCCACTTGCTGAAGTAGTTGGTAGCAGCGATGAAAAATTTGCGGTTGCCTGAATCTGCTAGAAGAGGTCCTACAATGTCTAGCCCCCAAAGCGCAAATGGCGAAGGACTTGTAAGGGGGAACAACTCTCTGTCTAGTTGGTGAATCTGGTGAGCAAATTTTTTACATTTTTTGCATTTGTGAACATATTTCTACGCGTCGGCCTGCATGCACGGCCACCAATAACCACTGGGAAATTGCTCGATAAGCCAGAGATCTACCCCCAATATGGCTTCCACAGATGCCTTCATGAATCTTGAAGAAGAAAGCTTTGACCTTGCTGGGGTGGACATACTTCAGGTATGGCCCAGTGAAAGATTTCTTGTACAAGGCGCCAGATGGAGAGAGCCAAAATCGCTCTGATTTGGCCCTTATCTTGTTGGCCTCTTTCTTTTCAGTGGGTAGAATTCGATCCTTCAAGAAGGTGATAATAGGATCCATCCAGGATGGTCCCAAGTCGGCACAGAGTACTTCGGGCACCTCCGGTTCCTCAATGCTCGGTTAGGGTAAGAATTCTATCATCAAAGGATTGGGAAAAGTCATTTGAATATATGCTAGGCCGGCCAATTCGTTGGCAGCATTATTTTTTTCGCGGTTAATTTGTTCCATTCTTATTGCGGCAAACTTTTTGATTTCCGCGCGTACCAGCGCTTGATACTTAGTCATCCTTTCATCCCTGGCCTCATATTCCCCAGAGACTTGATTGACAACCAGCTTGGAGTCGCTGAATACCATAAGTTTTGAAGCCTTCATTCTCAAAATGCTCTTCAATCTGTTAGAAGGGCTTCATATTCCGCCTCATTATTGGATGCTAGGAACCCCGAGTGTGATCACATACTCAATGGTTAGAGCATTCGGGGATGTCAACACGACCCCTAGCCCAATGCCATGTCTATTGGAGGCCCTGTCGACGAAGAGTTTCCATATCTCGCCAAAGAACAACTTCCAGCAGTCGAAGGGATTTTTAGAATTCCACCATATCAAGGTACTGGTCGGCTCATTCTGGTCTCTTTCCACATCTCCGTGGAGCTTGTACTTTGGTAAATCGACCAGTTCTTCGATTTCTTACTCAGCTTTCTCTTGTTGTTCTGCTACTTGTTGTCTACCACTTATTTCTGCTATCCGAGCTGTGGGCTGCGCCAAGTCCGCGCTAGCCAAATCGATAAGGTAAAGAGGTTGTGTTCCAAGGACAAGTTCCGCCACGAAGTCAGTAAGAGCTTGAGCTTTGATAGTAGCGCGCGACTGGAATTTGATATCGTATTGCCCCAATTCCACGGCCCACTTCTGCCGGTGAAATCTGCCATTTCAAAGAGCACCTTGAGTGGAAATTCGATTAGCACGACGATCGTGTGGGCATGAAAATTGTGTGCTAGCTTTCTGGAAGCCATCATGGGAGTTAGGGCTAGTTTTTCTAGCGGCATATATCTTGATTCGGCTGGGAGCAGTGTCTTGGTAACGCAGAAGATGGGGAGGTGCTAGATTCCCTCAGCGCGGATGAGGACGGCGCTCACCGCGTGCTGAGAAACTATCGAGTAGAGATACAGTTCTTTGCCCAGTTTTGGTGTGACCAAGATTGCGGCCGAGGAAAGGTATACTTTTAGATCCACCAGTGCATGGTCGCACTCGTCGTCCCAAAAGAACTTGGCCTTCAAAGTTTTGAAAAAGGGCTTGCAACGATCTGAAGACCGGCTAATAAATTGGTTCAGCACGACTGCCATTCCGGCGAGATGTTGCACGACCTTCGTGGAGTTTGGCCGCTCCAGTTCTTGTATTTCCTTGAGCTATGAAGGGTCGGCCTCGATTCCTTGGTTTATGACCAAAAAACCTAGAAATTTCCCGGTTCCAACTCCGAATGCACACTTGGAGGCATTTAAACGCAACTTGTGATGTTTGAGTATGGCAAACATTTCTCCTAGGTCGGCAAGGTGTTGAGACTTGTCTTTGCTCTTCACCATCATGTCATCGATGTAAGCCTCCATAGTGCGGTGAAGAAGAGGAGCGAATATTTTGGTTACCATCCTCTGAAAAGTTGTTCCCGGCATTTTTAAGACAGAACGACATGACCTTGTAGCAGTACAAGCCTCTTGGAGTGGTGAATGAAGTGATCTCTCGGTCTGGTTTGTAAATAGCGATCTGGTGGTAGTTGCGATATGCATCCAGGAAGCTAAGCCTCTGATGGCTAGCGGTTAGATCCACCAACTGGTCTATTCTCGGGCGGGGAAAGCTGTCCTTTGGGCACACACGTTTGACTGTCTTATAATCGATCCACACCTACCCTTTACCATTCTTTTTTGGCACTGCCATTGTGTTTGAGATCCATCTGGGGTACTGCACTTATTCTATCGCCCCAGCTTCTAACAAGTTCTTGACCTCCTCTGCCACTATCTCGACATGGTGCAAGGCCGAGCGTCGCTTTCTCTGGATGACCGGTTGTGCATTTGGAAAGACATTCAACTGGTGGAAAATGAAGCTAGGGTCGACACCAGGCATATCGTAAGGTGTCCACGTAAAGGCCTCAATGTTGGAAACCAAAAAGTTAACATAATCGAGCCGCTCGGCATTGGAGAAAGATGATGCCAAAAGAAAGAACTTATTTGGATCATTCTCATCAACGCGCACTACCACCAAATCTTCAGCCGATTTTTCTTCGACTTTTCTTCCCATGACTTCCAAGACTTCCTTCCTTTCTGGTCCTTCTATCATTTGAACAAAGCCTTTGGTAGCCCGATTGCCATTTACTGGGACAAAGCACTATTTTTCCATTACTTGGTCCCCCCAAACCTCTTCTACTTGTCCAGTTAATGGGACCTTAACCATAAAAAATTCCACTTGTTTCGTGATTGACCCAGCTTTGACCGGCAATATAATATTTCCGATTGGCCATTCGGGTTGAGAGTTGAAGCCTACCAAAGGGGACGTTGTTGGAGGCAAGTCTTTGTCCTCTAACTTCATCTGTTTGAACGCGTCGTAATACATGATCTCGACCAAGCTCCCCTGGTCAATTAGAATTCTTTTGATATCGAAGTCCTTGATGCGAAGGGTCACCACTAAGGCATCATTATGAGGCGTTTGAATTCTCTCAAAGGCCTTGCTTGAAAAAGTTAAGACGTCTTTTACCTGGGCCTTTCCTTTCTTCACGGTGGGTTGAATACAGAGCACTTCCCTCAAGTGCTCGGACTTCTTGATTATCCCCTTCAGCTCGCAAACCCGCGCTGGTTCGATGATGCCGTGAATGACATTAATTACGCCTTGGGGTACCGCATCTAAGACAGCAAGGCCATTTGGCTCGGCTTGTCCTTGTGGAGCAGCCCTCATACCCCTGCCGTTGTACTGGGCCAGATGCCCAGCCACCACTAGCTCCTCCAAATGTTGTTTGAGCGGTACACAGTTCTCCGTTCGGTGCCCTCTTTCTTCATGGAAGGTGCAACGATACCTCGAGTTGAAGCCCCTCTGTGTGTCTCCTAATTTGGCCGGTCAACGCATGTAGGGCTCACCTTGGATATCATTTAGCATACAGTAAATTGGGATCTTAAAGACAATGGTGATGCCAGTTCATGCTGTCAACTTCCTCTTGGCATCTTCCTCTTCACAACGAGGAGCATTAGCTCAGTCGTTTCTACGACTTTTGTTTCTATCAGTACGGTTTAAACCGCGATATTAGGGCGGTTGTTCGCTAGCCCCACCGAGTGAACCTTCCCAGCCACTCTTCTATCCGCCACAACCGGATTTTCCTTCTCGGTTGCGGTGGCTGTGGTGGCATCATCTTCTACTCGGATATGTTCGTTGATCTGCTGTATCAAGAACTCCATGGTTGTGGGCTGGTCCATCGTAAGCGAGTCTCGCAGCCTACATTCGACTGGGAGACCTCGCTTGTATTGTGCGATCACCAGATTGGTGGGGCAATCGAGGATCTCATTGTAAGTTTCCCAATAGTTAGAATTGTATGCCTTCAAAGAACCTCTAGATTCAATCTTGATGCTCAGGAGGTGGTCAACCTCCTTCGGTGTTAGAATGTTGGTTTTGAATCTAGTGACAAAGACCTCTGCTAGTTGTTGCCGCCCCTCGATGCTTCCCTCCGGGAGACTTTTGAACCATTTCAGGACTAGTTCTCCCAAACTTGTTGGGAATATGAGACATATCAAGGTGTCATTGCACCGGTGGCGAGCCATTACTTGCCAATAATGACTCACGTGCATGTGCTGATCCGTTTTTCCGTCATACAGTATGAACTTAGGTTAGTGGAATCCGGCAGGGAGTGGAATGCTCTCGATCTCTGGGGATAGTGGGGTAGCGATAAATCTTGCTAGCTCTTTGTCCATCAGTACTGGGGCCATCATTCTAGGTGCTGGCATTGCCACTTCCTCACTACAACGGATTTGGGGACGCAGCCTTTGCAACGCTGGCAATCTTTGGGTCTTTCCACAGTGAGCTCACTCCTCCAATACATCCTTCAGGTCACCCGAATGGATAGAGTAAGAGCATTTCGACGTTGTCGACGGACGTGAGGCACTATAACTGCTGTCGCGAGTGTGAGATCTCTCCACTGGTGGGTTGGAGTCTCCAACTCCATAGCTTCTGGTGATAGAGAAATAGGGCGTCCCATCATGGCGATGACTGTCAGAGCGATGGGGTGGGGTGTGCTCACTGTGGTTGCGCACTCTAGCAACACCCTTCCCCTTGATCTGGGGCTTCAGCATCTCCATTTTAGCCGCCATCTTCTGAATGAGGGCGTCCTGATCTCTGAGTTTGTGCTCCAAGCGTTGGGCATGTGACTCTCCTCGTCCTTGGCGACCCTCTGGACTCTTGAAGTGTTCAGCGCTTCTTGCGTGTTTGTCTGGCGCACTTCCGGAAGAGGTTTCCAGGTTTGCCATAGTCGGAATAGTGGGAGGGCCATCTCTCCGTCGGACAGACTCTGGTGTGATACCGTCAACAACGTATAGCGGGTTTCGTCGTTGTTAGCAGTGGAAATGGTTGAAAAAGCTTGGCCAACAAGGTTTGTTTGTCAAAGAGTTCCTGCTGACGGCGCCAATTGTACGGCGGTGAAATTTTCTCTGTTCTCCGTACTCCTTGAATGCAAGCTTCATGTGATTTCACCTGACGTGAAAACCAAAAGATGCTGAACTACTCGACGGTGTGCTGCCGGATAAACCGCCCGACGATCAAGTCAGCACACTAGGAGAAGAAGAAGAAGAATAGAGAGAGCACTGTAGAGCGAGAGACTTTGGAATTCCTTCTGATTGCTTACCTCTAACGTCTCTCTTCTCTTCTTTTTCTAGGCTGGCCATGTAGCCTCAGAGATTGTGGGCGCACTACCTCTGCCATCCTTCTCTAAGTAGGTGGCTGTGCTCCCCTCTCTACCTTTCTTACACGTGTAGAGATCAAAACCTCCAAATAGTGTTTGCCGAACTGCCAAACGGTATTGACGCATACTAGGAGTGGATTTTCCCTGCTTTACTATTGGTCCAGGTGGCTTACACTACCAAGCTATCACTTGGAAGAAACAGACAACATAACGAACTGGAACGGCCGAGCTACAATAAACCAGTCAATCGGGATCAACTGGTCGTAGGACGCGCGGTTCGGCATCTCAGCCTCACCCCCTTACCTCGTAGGACTCCTCGGCCCTATGTCAGTCCAGACTGTTCGTAGTTTGGCCCAACGCATCAGTACAAATTTAAGTAAATATCCATTTTAGCCAAATCATTGCTCGATCGGCTTGCCCGGCCCAACTTAATGGGCCAGGGCAGCCGTGTTGGTTCAGTTCGGCCAGGTTCATGGTCCTTGGCCCTAGCGAGGCACAACGCCATATCCCACGCTGACGTAGCTCGGCCCAATTGTTCGGTGCAAATCTCTCTCTCAATTGTCCCTTAATCCCATCCGAGCTAAGCGTGATTGGGACTACTACTCCGGTCGAGCTATCCAATTTGGTCGGCCATTGAGGATTGCGCCAGTAGTCTTGTCATTGATCAATCAACTGTACTGACAAACCATCTTTTCAACGCCACGTGACCTTCCCTGACTGGTTTCATGCATTCCTATAGCTGTCTACATTATACCAAAGATTTGAAAAGTTGTCGCCTATTTAGTTTCCCCCATATATACACACAAGAAGTCCCAAAACCCTCATCACTGTTCATCTCCCTTCTGCAGAAACCCTAAGCTTCAAACCTCCAAGTTTCTGCCACCGCCGCCGTCCCTGTTGTTGTTGCTTTTTGAGTCATTTCCAGCTATTTTTGTCCTCACGAAGGCCTTAGTAAGCGTCGTGGTCGACTGGGTCCTGACTTGGCATCCATACCCTTAAGTTTTTCTCACTTTCCTTTATATTCTCCATTGATGTTCTTCATGTTCTTAATTCCTGTTTGTTTCGTGACTGTTGAAATATTGCCTATGCCCCTCTTGTGGGATTAATATATGTGAGCATTAGGCCAAATCGAAGCCCTAAGTAGCAACGGGGCTTCCTTGCCCCTTATTTCCATTGATTACTGTAGGTGGTTCTGGATTTAGGATGAATACTAAAAACTCTAGGTAGAACTGATCAAAAACCCACTTTTAGATCTAAAAATTGGATTTAGCTGAGCCAGAACTAGTTCGAGGTCCTCCCTTGAGGTCCTCCCTGTGGGAAGATCGAACCGAGATAGGAACCGAAATACAGCACCACAACTAGTCTAATGGCCCAGAATCTCAGACCGAGCTAAAAAACTTCCTCATAGGAGCCGTGCAAGTTATGTCGTGCTAATACTTGGATTTATTTTTTAATAATGCAGAACAAACTAGGATCGACCAGGCCCACTCAGCATAACTGTCGGTGAGGCTCAAAGACCGAGCAAACAATCACCCAATTTTGACCGAGCTATAATCAAAATTACCCAACTAAATAAAACTGGGATAGATGGGGAAGTACCAGTTTATGGTTAATTTTCCTGGGGCAATGGCTGAGTTCCATAGAGAATACAATATTCCAGACGACGTCCATTTAGAGCTAGCCAAGAAAGAAGACATTCCCTGGGGCGAACTGGACAAATGCCCTTTAACGGTGGTATCTATTGTGGAAGGCAGCCCACGCTTCCTGGTCCAACCCTTAGTCTGCTTATTTTTGAGGTAGACTATGTTGTGCCCGACCCAAGTCTCCAACAACACATACAAAATAATAAACGGTGTGGCTGCACTGAATAGGATACTTGGTCTGAATCTCGGCCCCATCGAGATATTCCGTCAATACACACTTAACAAAAATAAAGGGGGGTTTTGTTGGTATCTCAAAGTTTGAAAAGGCCGAGCATACCTTATCGAAGGTCACCCGGATAAAGAGACAAATGACGATGATTTCCTGTGGGTGCCCGGTAATTACGAGGACACCAAAGCGCCCATACCAGGCTGGTACATAAGAAAAGATGTTAGGAGTGCTGGTTAGCACCTTAACATGTTTTTAATTCTGTAATTGTTCTTGATTTTGCCGATCTAACCCTTGCTTTCTTGTTGTAGACTACAGACTCTTGGCCAACAATTACTTCCGTGCAAACCAAGAGGCCATAAGCATTGCATTGCGGCATCCAGCCAAGGAGCGAGAGCCTAAAAAATTGCTCGGTTACGAACCGAGTTACCATTACACAGCGCTGCGCAGGAGCAACGTGACCGACTTCCTTCGTGTCCCTTCTCCAGAGCCGGACCCAAACCTTCCACCAATCAAACTTGCACCATTGACAGAAGAACAAGAAATGGCCAAAATCTGAGCCATAAAGTCTATGATCATAGGGGAGCCAAGCGACTCATTGCCGGCTGAAATGATAGGAGGCCGAACATCTAGGCTTGTTGTGCAAAAGGGGCCCGCGCTAGCTCTTGCCAGCAAGGTAGTTGCTGGTCGGTCGAGAAAAAGGCCAAGAAATGAGCAAGCCAAGTAGCGCCTTGATGACGAAGATTCAGCCAAGCTACCATCGACTAAATAGGGAGAGCAGACTGAACAACCGCTTTTCGGGTGATCCGCCTATTTCGCTACCCCTGCAGTCTGGTCACCTGAGCTAAAATACAAAGGCTGAGCAGTGATAGAGGCGGACTCCGTTTACACGAATAAGGACCATTCGCTCGGCTTCAACATGACCAAGGGTTTGCTTCTCCCTGCGGACATGAAGAAGCATGAGGAACTGTCTGACTTGAAGTCCTCCAGTCGGCCGCAAAATCGGTCGTTCTGGTAAGTGATCGAGTTATTGTACTTCCAAGTTATCGATCAGTTTCTCATACTAACTTCTACCTTGCTGCAGGTCGCGCAAAAAAACTGTTTGGTGCACGAATGTATGATTTATGTGTTGCAGAGTTTGAGGGAGGCTATCGCTAATAACAAATTAAAGACAACCGAGCTGGATAAGCTAAAGACTGCACACGAGGTAGTGTTAACACAGTGAGATCTCCTGGATAAGAAGTTGGCGAAGGCTAAGGAGGAGAAGGATAAGGTCGTTGCTGGTCAAAAATGAGAGATATCTGGCCGAGCTACCCAAGCACCGCACCATCCATAGTGCCGAGCTAAAAAAAGAAGTGGACGGCACTAAAGATCGTGGATATGCCGAGGGAGAAAGGGTGTACGGGCGGCAGGTGGCGGGCACCAACGACATTTTTTCAGTGCGGCTGGAAAACGGTTATGGAAAAACTCGGTCAAGCACCGGAGTTCGAGGTGTTCAATAACCCCCACCTGCCTTCATTCCTTCCTATATGCAAACATATGCTGCCGTCGCACTCTAGAAGTTGATAGATGACGCTAAGGAGGCCAGCGTGGTCGATGAGCCAACTCTACAGCCAACCGACAAGACCCCACCACCAGCCATATCAAAAGAGGCGGAGCCGATCAGTGAGCATGAGCCTTCAACCGCCAAACAACCAACGGACTTTGGCGCTGAAACCGCACAGAATGTGGCAGAAGAGGTAGAGGGCAACTTGGAGGATGCTGTATATATTGACTAAGGCGCAGCTAAGCTTATGTTTGTCTCTTTTTTTTTTTTTTTTTTTTTTTTTTTTTGTATTGATGTAGCCGGCTACGAGCCCTACTTTTGTAATCAGGCTTTATCATGAATGAAAAGTGAACTTTTTCCTCGCCATGTATGCAAATTTATGTTTGCCCTGTGGTTGTCATTTTATTCGATTTGGCCGAGATAAAATCTTATCGGTGTATTCTAAGCGTAAT